AAGTATGTGTAATAGTTGAACGCATCATGGACGCACATCGTGTGTGGACAATACTCTCTTGAGCATCTCCGCCATAGCATTTCGCAGCGTTGCAGCTGAAACAATCTCAATAACTGTATGTTCAAGTAGTCTCTCTTTTATAAGCTCCGAAAGTGCGCCGATGGAACCGACGTGGGAAGAAGCCTATTTGTCGTGCGAGACCCTCGAACTGCCTTTCACAAACTTTCCCAGTGTTATTAGAGCACATCAACCATTCAATATCGCCTCGAAAAGACGTGAAATTATGACGAAAGAATTTTACGTGATCTGTTTGACCACCACCTTCAGAGGGGGAGAATTTTGCATGAGTATTTTGATTTACGCCTGTCTCTCATTTGCTCCGAAAACCTTGTTAGCTGTAACAAGAAAAGGGATCTTCACATAAATCACACACGGAAGTATCACTGGCTCGGACGCGCACAAAGAAGGATTTCAATTCCGAGTCCAGGACTGCAACGTGGGAGACAACTTTCGAAGTTGTAAACCTGCAGACGTGGCGTTTACTGCGAGCTCATGCCAACGAACTCCACTGCTATTAATAAGCAGTTACACAGGTATACGGATGGGATTGCCGATCCGGAAAAGTGGGTGCCAAAATGTGGACGCGTGCGCGTCAGAATGTCAATACTGCCTCATGTCTGACGCGCATGCGCGTCAGCTTGTTGTCAACTTAAATATATCAAATGGAGTTCACCATTTTCTCGTTATCTACCTTTGACAGTCTATCTTGGTAGGAAGCACGCGATTTTTATACTTAGCCCGTTTGAGGGTAAGCAAAAGAGCGAAAACTTTAACTATATTAGAGAATGGCTGTATTGACCAGTGTGCTAGGGAGCACGATAATATTTCATCACTCCCCTTTGCTTCATCGACTGTGACGAAAGCTCGTCCGCAAGGTCGGAAACTCCTCTATGAATGTGACGTCTTTTACAAAATGAAAGAAACGTTAAGTCGTTTGTCTAAGTAGTCGTTCTACTTTCAACATTTCAAAAATGCCAAAAGGTTGTGTATAAACTGCTAGAATTGAAGGTTCCTTATTTCAGGGTCCGATTGTGCCAGGTTTCTGCAAGATGCCTGAGCCGATAGATCTGCCGTACAAGTTCAAGTCTGGTTCAACGAAGGTTCTGAAGAGGAAAACATATAAATTCGACGTGATCGAGTCAATGGACGTGAGCCATTGATATTTCTTCAATGGTTCTTTTTGTTCAAAGACTCCTATTCTGCCCTTTATTTATTTGTATCTTTGTCGGCGTGGTTTCTGTAGTATCTCTGTAATAGTAACGTTCTCACAAAAACTGTTTTATTTGGTAAAGTAATAAATGGAGTTTACGTTGGGGTAAGTGTGGCACATGTGGGGCGGAGCGTCTAGTAAGGGAGCTTCTATTTTGTGAGACACAGTCATATAACATTTGAATGTGAACCGGTTAGAGATGGAAATGAATTACAGTTTTGCAGTCCGTTTATTACGAAATGGGATAGCATTGAAGGTTCATGCATGGTAAGATTATAAAGTTCTAAAAAATAAGCCCTCAAAAGCAAGCAAACCCTGAAATTCATTGCCCTTTTTCAAGCCTCTCACTTAGTGCTTCGAAGGCTCTTTATAATTCAAAGAAGAAGATTCCTTTGCTGATCGCTTGTATTTTTGTATTGTATTTTTCGCGTTTCTGGGAAATTAGCAAGATTAAGCGCTTTACCGAGTGAGCTACAGAGCTAGGACTCCGAACCAGTTTCAGGTCGTGAAGACGACAATTTGTGAAAACGTTGACCAGTAGAAGTGTGCCACCTGTATGGCTCAAAAGAAACAACACAATGTACAGTAGTTTTCTGCGACAACTTACGTCAAAATCCCAGCCGTAGCAACACATGTGGCATCAGATGGCATCAAGGGCATCAAAAAGCCCGCACTATATCGATTTTTCAAGGCTTTCGCCGCGTGTGATTTCGAGTCTGTAATCACGGCATAGCTTGCTGCAGGAAACGAAGTATACAGTTTGAGAACACAGCAAGAAATAAATGGCATTTATATCTCAACATGAATAGATAAACATATACATAACATATAACAAACAATTTCTTTGAGATAATGCATTCAGCAATGGCTTTGGATTTCAGCGAGTGATCGCTCTCATCGGGTTTTGGGCAGGAGTGATGGCGATGACTTGAAAGAAATGCTACTGACGTCATAATTCCGGTACAAGTCCTTGTTGTTGAAGGTACTCGGCATACTTGGCATCGTCTGCTGGGTTGGTCAGATACCTGCAATAAAGACGGTAAAGACTGTTCGAAAAATCGAAAATAAGAACTACTGCACTTTCATATATGGCTAAGTCATTCTAAGCGGCACTACTGTCTATGGAAGATAGCTCGGGAGAAACTCTTCAAATGTTTATCATAAGTGTTATCCAGTGCCCTTCTATGAATTTGCTTCTTTTCTGACGTTAAAGCCACTTGGCGCTGATTTAGACGTAAATCGCGTTAAACTGGCGCTAGTTGACGCCAGCGTAAAACACAAATCAAGGCGCCAAATAACAACACAAGTAAGCTTTAGTGGTGGGAAAAAATGTTCGTGATCAGGGCAGTGAATAACCCTACAGTCAAAATTTTGCAGGCCTCTTCGACTTTTGTAGCGGTTTTTGTAATGCAATGAGGCCCTCTGTTCCTTTTCTTTTCTCCTCTTTCACTAAAGGGCGTTCTTAGACATGATTGTCAGATTCACGAACGCGGTACAGAAGTTGCTCTGTAGAAGTTCCACATTCTAACAACCATGGATTTCTAAATTCTTAGAACTACTCTACTTTGGGCGGAAGTGGTGTAGTGGCAAGTGGCACGCTTACCACGCGAGCGGTCCGGGGATCAAATCCTGGGTCGTGAGTCGCCCGGGCCAACCAAGCCTTCCATCCCTCCGGGGTCGGTTAATTGGTACCAGACTTGTCTGGGAGGATAAAAACACTGACTTGTACATCGGCTGGCCCCGCAAGTCATTGTATAGGCCACATCGCATTCAAACGCCACTACGAATGTACAAATGGAAGTAGAATGCGTGCCGCATCCCAAAAAGGGATTGATCAACGGCAAATGCTTTATCCTTTTTTTAGAATACTCTACTTCCACCTTTACTTATACCCTCCAAGATAGGCACAAAAGGTTTCAGTTCTCAATATAACGTTTGAAAATTTATTAACTGCGTTGTACTGAGCTGTAATTTGATCACGAGCTTACCGTGGACATTTCAGTCGCAGTTCGAGACCTCGCAGATCACGATATAATTGCTCTCCCTTCAGCCACTCGTGTGCTAGGCATTGCTCAATGGTGAGACGCTCCTCGATCTGAATCAGCATATACAGAATTAACGAGTTTTTTGCGGTTAGGTGCCCATAAGTTTAAGGAAATAATGAATACTAAGGCTGAGGTCGTACACTTATAAGAGTCAAGTACTCGAATCTAGCCCAAGCCTATCAAGCCTATAGTCCCCCAAGGAGGTTAGTTGGTACTAGGCTTCCCTGGTAGGATAATAACAGTGGCATTGACATCGACCGGCCTTCGTGAGTCATTGTGTAGGCCAAATTGCATGCTACTACGACTCTGTATGGAAATAGAATGTATCGCAACCCACAGAGGGTTGGAGTTAATAACGTCGAGTCCTTCTATACTTTCACGCATGTATGTCAAATAACTACTCGGCACAAGACTGTTTGTTTTCTTTATGGCAAAGGTTTTCACGGCGAAAGAAAATTTTACTATCAAAATCGAAGGGGACAGTAGAACGAGCAAATATTGAGTTGAGTAGCCATATTGTGCCAGAATGAGCACAACGCTGGGTAAGTTATGCAACCATGGGTGACTATTGAAGTTGTACCTGATTGTGAATAGACATTTCGTTCTTTTTCGATCAGGTGATCAACTTTGGGCACTGCACTATTGTTCATTCCTTGATTATAAAAGGCGGAGGTGGGGATGGGGTTTTTGAAAAAGAATTTCACGATAATGCCGAAGGTCGAAGAAGGTGGAACTCACCCAGTGGAAAGGCAGGTGGACCACCTAAGGGACCTATTGTGATTACCCAAAAAAGTGCCTCTAGCGACCTAGCATAGCCCTCCCCAGGGAGCTATTGGCGCGGTACGTCCATCGACTGACTAAGCACTCGCGCAGACCTCTAGCCAATTAGCAGAGAGTGAGCGTTTCCGTTGAAGAAAGAGCATCGATGAGAGTCGCATCACTCAACAGGCAAGGAACGCTGATGCGACTCTCGCTGATGCGACTCTCTTCGGTGTTGCCATCTTTAACGCTTACGCTCTCTCTGCTAAACGCCTGAAGGCTCAGACACCGAGAGTGGGATGTATCGCGTCGATAGCGCTGTAGAAGGGTCATGCTAGATCGCCAAGGGCACATTGTCTGCTGCGAATTGCGTGTCGCTTCGCACCCTTGAGTAGGTTGGCCTGTCTTTCCACTAGGTAACTTCCCCACTCTGCGACCTTAGCGTGAAATCCTCATTTAATCGTAAATTCTTCTTTCAAGTGCGGGGCATAGGGCGCATAAAGAGCTAAGGTTACTAGGTAGAATGCGCAAGAGCCCTCTCGAACTTTTTATTGCGCTCACAGATGGGAATAAATGTCACAACTGGTCGAGCCGTCGTGGGGAAGGAAAACAAAGCTGAGAACATACGCTAAACTGAGACGGAGACAGCCTGACTTTCAGTGCTCTTCTCATTTGTTTCCTGCTTCCCTTAGGCCGATGTCAGACTTTGCGAATCGCGCGATTCGCTAGCGTCTGCGGTCGCGTCGCGGCCAGTGAATCACTCAATTGGCTGGTACCGCAACGCGACCGCGGACGCTAGCGAATCGCTAAGCGAATCGCGCGATTCGCAAAGTCTGACATCGGCCTTATACTGCAAAGAGGAAGAGCACACCAATGAGAACGTCGTCAATGGTTGAACCCTCAAAAGTTCTCAAGTCTGGAGTGGAATGTGTTTCTAGGGTTCTTAGCTCTCGAATTAGTTCCAAGTTATCTTTATAAGTCGTCGACCAATATCGCGTCTGTTTCCATCACTGAGCACAAAAGCTCACATCAAAGCAAACATGAAGCGTGCCTCTCATGCAAGAAAGAATTCTGTAAGCGGTCCTCTGAAAGCCGCGAATCGTTCTTTCTTATTACCCCCTCTAGTCTATTAGTGAAATTTGCTGCCTGTTCGAGCATTTGGACTACCTTCCGTCAAAATTCACGACATGGAATTAACCTCACTGGCCTCTACGTCTTTGCTACTTGAATAAGTTGTCAAGTACACACCTTTACCCGTAGTAGTCGTTGAATCAAGTCTATGGCGGCAGGTGAGACCTCTGCCCAGGGCTCGGCTGGAAACATGAACGCGGCATTCTGGATCTGGTCAGCTATCTGAAACAAGAGCTGTTTTGTTGAAATTTCCACCTAATTGTTGATCAGTTTAGGGACTCATTTCAAGCCAGGGCTGGTCAGCTCACAAGAGTCACCATCTCACGCTTCCAAAGATGTCATGCGCTCATGTCTGAGATTTACACATGATATCACTTCGTTGCTTTCCAAACAGGATCCTCGACATTACCCGCATAGCTATTTCTCGCTGTTGAACGGTGAACACGATGACTGGAGGGCGGTCCGGTTTTGATGACGTCGTTAGACGTCCTTGGTGGACTAGACTCCTTAGCGCACTGAGAGGCATGGTTGCGACCGCTTCTTAACGCTCTTCCACCAGTGACACAACGGCGTCTTCGGAACTGCACCACCTTCCAGCCAGCGCGATCGATGCCTTGAATCCAGAAATGTACGATTGTTAGGGCGATCCACTTTGATTACCTAGGGCTCCCTTCCGCTGGTACCCTCTTCTTGACCCCTCATCGAATCTGATATGTTCAGTAATGGCCCCTTAGGGATTAATCCAATTCCAGCAGGTTTACCTCTTCTCCTTCATTGAATGGGAATGTCCCAGACAATGTAACGTAGATGATGACGCCGACCGACCACATATCCAGGGACTTATTGTAACCTGTAATGGGACCAGTTACATGTATTTGTGGTATCCTGAAAAAAAATTACTCACCTTGCCTGAGCAGAACTTCAGGCGGTAGATAGGCTGGCGTGCCTACGATAGTTTTTCGAAACTGCGACTCGGGAATGAACCTAGGAAAACGTGATTTGGAAGGAATATTACCTAGAAAACCCGGATGTTGTAGTGTACCTGGCATAACCAAAATCGCATATCTTCGTTTGTGGAAAGTTCGTGTTCGTCTCGGATAGAAGAACGTTTTCAGGTTTGAGGTCGCAATGAGCGATACCCTGATTGTGGAGGTATTTAAGAGCAGAGAGAATCTGCACAAGAAGAAATCGAGTCGCACGTTCATCGAGGCGGCCTGCGGCCTGGAACAGAGATGAATTGCACTGGTTTTAATCTTTTGGCGATAATGGAACCCAATAGCGGTTCCCACCTCATCATTTTCTTCTTTGCCAATTGAAAATATTTTAAAGGAATCTTCCGCGGAAAAAGCTCCGCCTCCATTACCACAGAAAAACGATACCCCTTAGGCCCCTAGCCTCATGAGCATAGCAAAAAGAACGGAACATAAGCGTTAGTTTCGATACTAATCCTACACACAAGACAAAATGATCACTCTTTCCGTGGAAGATTCCTTTAAGGTATCGTTTTCTGTGGTAATGAGGGCGGAGCTTTTTCCGTGGAAGATTCCTTTAAACGTCCAAGTAATTCTTGTGACTATCTATTTTTAGCATGGTTTACAGAAATATTCGATAATAAATGATTGATAGGAATTTTATAAGGTTCCAATCAGCTCCCCGGAATATAAAGCGTTTTTTTTTATGATCAGACTGAAGATCATCTACTGATCTAAGTTTTTCTTCTTTTTATAGCCTTCTGACACTGGGAGGGTGTTAAGTGTACCAAAAATCTACTGTATATATCAACTTCTGAAGTTTTTACCCTCCATCCATTTAAAATCCGGGCACCCCTCCCACATTTCCAATTTTCTTCCATACAATGATTCTTCAAATGTCTAAATCTGCAGCTATACTTGGTGAATTTCGAAAGTCGAAAATTAGAAAAATATGCTTTGGACAATTTTGCCCAATGTTGAGCGTAAGCTGGGAGGACAAAAAGAGGCGTGGTCCCGCGAATCACAGATTGCTTGCATTGTCGTCAAAGGATCAATAAATGAGTAGTGCAATTTATACTTCGCAAATCGCTGGGATTCTAAAATTGTAGCTGAGGAGAGGTGAAGGAGAATTGCACGATTGCAACGCAGTAGTGTAGTGGCAGGAGCATTTCTAGAGAATGTGGAATAATTTTGATTTGTCTGGAGTTGAGCGGAAGTTGCATGGTGACAAATGGGGCCGCGTATGACGCGCACATATAGATGAGGTTGTACATCGCTCTGCATTCGTATGGGTTCAGGGAAACAGGAAGGTATACCGTAACCCACGTTGGTGCCAGGGCGCTAGTCGTAAGTTTCCAGCGCTCAAGGTCTTAGCCCTGTTCATCGTTTTGTGGTCCTGGAAGGTTCTCTTTCTCAATACCATCCAAGAAGATGATGCCAATTTCACCCATGTGATCGCTCTGCCGAAACCAACAATGCGATCCCCTTCGTTGGTAACTGCTCAACGAATGGGAGATCGTCGTTAGGGGCGTCACAATTCGTAACAACATTTGCTTGCAGCTCCATTTCTCTCTTTTCACTATTCAACTACGAGGTAACTTACCTGACTGAGTATCATTTCAAGCATGTCACCGTTCATCTTTTCCATCACCACGAAGATCTTGTCTTTTGTCTCACACATGAACTCCAATCGAACGATTCCGCTATGGCAGACACGTTGCAAAATCGCTACCTTAAAATATCACCAGATCTTAAGATTTTGACAGCAAAACTCTGTGCATCAATACAATGGCAGAACTATAGAAATAGCCGAACATCCGTTGTAGCATCACACCTGCTCCTTCATTTTAAACCCTGCGTTCACCTCCCAGAAGAAAATCAAGCCTCAAAGACTCATGATTAACAAAGTGATATATAGAGCAAAGGGCAGTGGAGCAATTCAAAAGAGAAAAATTGAAGCAGCTTATAGAAAACCGTAATATTTTTCGACTGCCATTTTGAAAAAAAGAAAGCTTCATACCTCTGCCCGCATTGACTCAACACCATTACTCTTCTTCGAGAAACGCTCCTTCGAAATTACCTGTAAAGGGTAGTATTCATGGTGAAAACGTGGTGAATAGAAATATGGACAAAAGAGGATTATTAGTACATTTTTAGTTCTCTTCGACCCCCTCACATAATGACAGCCTTCAACACCTAGGCATGCATTTGAGCTATTGGGTTGTCTCATAATTCCTGTCGCAATTTCGACACTTTTGTTTATTCAAGTTTTATCTCTTCTAGGAAACAACTGATCAATAGCATAACCACCATCATGGTCACTGATATGCGTGCATTTGCTAGTGAGCGTTTGGAAGCTTCCAGCCCAGAATGAAGGAAACTGGGGGTTGAAGAATTTGGAGAAGTCGTTTTTGGGGTGACCGCAATCTTTAACTTTCTTCTCTGGCAGATGCTTATTCAAAGCGCAGGGGAGGCGATAGTCCGATAGAGCGATGCCAATGCTATATGGTGGATGAGGTATCGTGGCCCTGGCTATCTCCCTCAGAACGTGGTGAGTTGGCATTGCAATGTGAGGTCTGGCGTACATTCGGAGAAAGGAGAATCTGAGACGTTTCTGACGATTCCCTCGCAACCCCAAAGCCAGCCTAGAGGGCTATTCCGCGCTGACTTTAGCAATGCTTGTCTTCATACATTGAAGTGGTTCCCAAACCAGGCCACCTAGCGAATCCAACAAAACGAGAGCGATATTCTCAGAAAACGGAGTTCGGGCTTTGGTTGAGCTGGTGCTTCCTGGCTGCGAGGCAGCCATCAGACGTGCCGCATGTTGTTGTCGCAGTGGACTCATGACTCATTTCCACTGGTGACCGATTAGGGAAGGCTCTGCTTTTGCCGTCCCAGAATGGATTTTCCCCAGATGGTCAGGCGTGCTTCCCGCTCATGGTCGGCCGGACCATAAGGTTTCCATCAAAACTTCATTCTGCAGCAGTCCTTGCCATACTGATGGCGTGTGCTGGTGCATCGGCTGCGCTCAGGTATCTGCTACAATACCCTGGTAGCAACGTAGGCACTCCCAATTTAGGGTGCAAGGGGCGCTCATCAAAAATGACCGCAGGCCCAGTATGAGGTTGAAGTTCATAGCTCGTTTCGTCTTTGCCGTTGCGATTGGACCACTAGCTCAGTACCCTATCAGTAGCAGAGACTGAGTCAAACACAGCGCTGATCTTCTCTGTTGTCCTCCTTGCTACAGAGTTCATTTGAGGATCGTAAAGCATAATCATTCATTATAGTCACTGACCTATTTTTATTCCTAGTTGATTAACCCGTTAAGGGCTTGCGCTTCCGAAACCATGCTGTTAAGGCTCTTGAAGCATACTTCAACATACTAACGTATTTCGCAATGAAACGGTCTTAGACGGAAGGAATTTGAAATTGAATAGAAATGCGACAGGAATTATGAGACAACCCAATATAACAGAAGGATTCCTCAGTAACGCAAGCCCTGCATCGGCCGTAGCGAAATTTTTGTTTGAGGAAGAAAAAGTGGAAAAACGGTATACCTTGACAGCCACCTCGACTCCTGTATGTCGCTGGATTGCACTGTACACAGTACCAAACTGACCGGAGCCGAGCACTTTTTCGCTGAGCACCTGCGATTTGACGAAATTCAAATTTGAAGAACTTTAAAAAGACATGTCATCAGATAAAACAAAAAGAGAAGAAAAAGTTGCGTTTATGCTTGTCAACTCATCTGAACTCGATCACTCACCAGAGGAGGCTTTCAAAATCCCATGGAACTGGCAGATTTCTCAGCCAAATTGATAAGGCCAGGAATAGTAGTCACGAAAAGTGCTATGTGAGTTCTCAAAGAATTGGTAAACGGTCGAAGTCGGCAAGAAAAAAAAATTGCAAAAGAGTAAGCTGTGGTGTCGAGCTGGCACCGGGTGGCTTCCTGTGTCAAAAATGAGTGTCATATTCGTGATCAGGCTACCATTCGACCCCTATAGGCTGAGTTTCAGAGGAAATTAGAAACTTTGGAGGAGATGCACTGTTCGCCTAACACATGTAGTGACGCTGCATTTTCGGCCGAACTTCAACGCTTCGAACATTTGGCTTAGAAAGTTCTCGTAGCAGTTCTTCTCCATATTTGTTATTAGCATTCTTGACCGTACCAGTTTACCCAGGTGCCATTAGATATTCCATGGGAATTTGAAAGCATTCTGTGGTCAAAGACATCGATTCCCGTAACCCATTTTATTCACCTGATACAGCTCAGCAAATTCCAATGCACGTTCGGCGTTTGGAGCGTCACTTCGACTCACTGGGGGCTGCAGAGCATCCTTAAGAGCCTGAAAGAAGCAGTGAGAAGCTTGAGGTGGGTAAAATTTCGCATTTTGGCAGCTTCATGACAGAAGAATTTGACGCTCTCAGGGCGTCAATTTCTTGGGAATTCACAATAAAACATTTTTTTTGCATGTTGCTATTACTGCCTTCTATTATCCAAAATAAAACTGGAGGAATACTGTCTTCACGACGGGGATCGACAAACCCAGGGAATGCTTTTTAGTGGAACCTAGCGAAAGGCATCGTTTTGAAGGGCGGCCGAGTCGGAAAACTCACCGAGGTCGAACCCTCGATGAGCAGCAAAGAGATAAGTAAAATAATGCACCCAAATTTGCGCCGACAATACCTTTAAAAAAGCCGTAGGGGACTGGTTTCTCAAAAAAACTGATCCACGACGAATTCTCTGAAATCATGGCACCTTTGTACACCAAAATGTGGTATGGAGCCGAATGCGACGAAATTCACAAGAAGCGGACGCACTTTGCATCGCAACGACACTACGATGTCTGGTAGGTGATTACAAAACGTGTGCGTGTGCTGGCGCTGTGTAGTTTACAGAAGCTGAATCCGTACAGATAAACATAAACAAGGTGAAAGAGGTGAAAACTATGATCGGATGGGAAAGCGAGTTTGGATCAAAGTAGTGCAACAGCTTCAGGCTGACATTAATATCGTAAGACATTAATAATCCTCTAGGCTGTCGACAGTAGCAAATGCTTCACACTCAGTTAGTGGACCAGAAACTAAGCAAGGGCACCAGCACCTGCCTATTGGAAAACGCCTCAAGAAAACTTTAGTCTGAAACCTCCGTCCTTTCGCCACCTACGAAAAGAACCAGTCGTTTCCATGAGCAGGGTGAGTTTTTGAATAAGCTCAGCCATCCATTAGGCAACCATCTATTAGGCAAAGTTGATGAGAAGGTTGTGCTTGTGATTTTTGAAAAAAAAGGCATTGGGTGAATTTGGCGAATGGCACGATATTTGTAAAAGACAACCTTCCAAAGGCAGCAAACGTGGTGATTCGGTGCCGATCAAAAGTGAAAGCAGGAGGGCAAGTGGTGCGCCGGCGAAAAAAAAGGTAAATTTTCCAGCGCATCAGAATCAGCTGATCGCGGAAATTGCGACGTCATCGAAGCGCTGTTTGAAAGGGGTATTGCGTAAACAGGCTATTGGTTCTAGGCTCTCGGGCTCTCGCTACCCATTAATTGACTGAGGAAGCTGAGTAGCAGCTCCAGCCCGGAGCGCTACGGTAGGCCTCCCTGAACTCATGTTGATGGCAGATGGTGTTACCATCGACGATATTTCGAATACGTTGAAGCCATTTCACTTATGGAGAGCATTTTAGGAATGTTTTACTGCAAGATGCAAGCTCCACCAACGGTAGCACCTGTGCCAAGAAAAGTTTGCTGATGTGCGCCATGGACAAGAAGTTTTTTCTCCCTCCCACCAGGGTCAACCGTCACGTTCGAACATTTTCGGGATTTTTGCGACCCCCTAGCTCTCGAGGGGGTCCAGTTGCGACCCCCTGTTTTTGTTAATAAGAGTGCTAGACATGAATCCGTTGCGCCAGAAAGCGTCTGCGCGCGCCGCAGAAAGCGTCTGCGTTGCGGCGTCAGCCTTGGAGCGCGGCAGGTATCACCCGGGCGCTGGAAGAACGGGACGCGGCGAAGAAAAAATTTTAGAGGGGAATAACTTTCTTGGGACGTACTTTTTTGACTTGTTGAGGTAGATTTTGATTGTGCCTGAGGTGCGCTTTCAGAAAACTACAAGGATTGCCTAACTCTCCGGAAAGTACTTCTGTTAGAAGTGGAAAACCCAAAATTCTAAGAAGGCGCACCTTCAACTTTGAAGGCCCATAAATTTTCAGAAACTTCAAATATTTCTCTATCAAAACAGTATAAAAAGTTTAGTGATTGACCCCTTTTTCAAAAAATTGTCCCGTTCGAACATTTTTCGTGCAAAAGCGAGTTTTTGGGCTTTCAGCGACCATAACTCACTTCATTTTCATTTCTGTGATGCACTTTTTTCATGGGTGAAAGTACAGGATTTGCTCTTTCTAACAAGCACCAAACCGTTTTTCAAAGTTCATTTTTCGAGAAAATCACACGTTCGAACATTTTGTTCCCATAGGTTTTTGAGCAGCACATGCGAGTTTTTGAGCTTTCAGCAATAATAACTTCCTTCAAAAGCTTATTTGGGGAACTCCGCACTCCCTATATGACAACATCATGAGGAAGTCACTGTAGAGTGTCACGAGTTGCCTGGCGGTATCCCACCCAAATGTTTCCGAAAAGCAAGTCCGAGGTTTTACTCAATGTTCAAGAAACGTGGAATCTCCTAACTGAATTTGAAAACGTTTCCAGAGAATAGGACTCAAGCAAGACATTCACAATTCTGTTCCCAGGCAAGATTCCCGTCCCTGAACCAAACCAAATCTCGGTATTAGTACAAAGGTGTCACTGATTCTTGGAAACAGTGAATCACAACAGTGTTGTTGTAAGAACATGGAACACCGACGGAAAAATTCAACCGACCTGAAACCATAGTTGAGTGTTGGATGGAGGTCGTATGCTGAGGCTTCGAGGAATTTTCTTCGGTGGACCATTAGAGTAAGCATGTAGGTTCTCTCCAGCACAATAGACAACGTTTGATATGGTACGAATTTCGAAGCAATGCGGCGGATACCTTAACACATCTATTATTTGTGATGTAAAATCTGCAAATTCATATTGGAGGGTTTTACTGTCTCCAGACCATGAGGGTACAGCACCACCGCGAAAGTAGCAGTGATTAGGAGATTTGAAAGAAGTTTTTCATGCAATGACCATTTACCGATGGTCTAGGTCTGGTTAGACTTTCGGCAGCAGCACAGCTCGACTGTACTTCTACGAAAAGGTCGTTTAAATGCACGCCCCAGGATCAAACTGAAGTAGCTCGTGCCCACAAAAATGAAAGCCCCGGTGCGAAGTGGGCCGACAATTAGCGAAAAACCGAAAGAAGGCGTCGAAAACGTTAAAGTGGGCTTGCTCACTTTTGACTTTTGTTACGCCCTGACAAGAGCCTAGCGCAAATACTGTACAGTTTGGAAGCGGGAGAATGGGAAGTGTGTGACCACCGTGAACAGCTCTATCCTATCCACCAGAAAAACTAATCCACCTAAAGTCATCCTGCGTTCCGCCTTTAGAAAAGTCTCACTTTTATTGTCACAGGGGGCAAGAGTTAAGGGAGACAAGAGAGACGCAGACAGGCATGAGGACTTCGGGAGAGGCAGACCCGCCAGAAATCAGGGCTAATAGCGTCGGTTCGAAGCCGAGTTCGTCTTGGTGATGCATATTACTCCTCTAGCACCTGTACACTTTTCTACCGGCTTACCTCGTTCAGCGAGATAAATATAGAATGCGCATTCAATGATATATTTCTTGTTTTGCGACAGGGATTTACGTTTTGATTACTAAACACCGTATGAACAATTTCTTTCTTGGAGCCGCTTTGAGAAGTTATGAACTCATTTGGATGAGCAAGAGAGTATGGTAAAGAAATGGAAACAGGACATTTTGAACCTTCTTCCTCGGGGGAGAGGATTACGAATGCCGGTTTTCACAAGAAACCGGTGATATTGAATTTAAAAACGAACTTGGAATGAACAGAAGGTCCGTTATAAGGAGTGATGGCGAGAATCTCGGCTAGAGGAAGTACCATATAGCACTTGTTGGGATTCACACCTGAAGCGATGAATTAACATGATCTATGAGGCAACAAAAGGGAAAACGGGAAGAAGTCCGCCTGACGGTGGGCAATTTTTCAAAACAACAAGAATGTGTTCAATGATTTTAGAGGTCTTTTGTCCATGACAAAAGACAATAACTCCCAAACTATGTATAAAGCTAATATCTCGTTTAGCCCACCTCTGTCGAGCGGGGAAAATCGGATACGCTTGCCTTCGTTGTATTCGTTGTACATGTTGATAGCATCATTAGCAAGAATCCAATAGTGCTTCAGTCTTCGCTCAGGATCCGAAAGCAAGAAGTGAATCATCCATCCTTCAACTTTCGGCTGCGTAGTGTTTCTCGACGTCACTTGTCCTAGAATGCTGACTCGTCACAAAATTTTGGCTGTGAGATTTTGTGAGGTCGCGGAAGTTGGTGACTAGTTTGTCTGGAAATTTAATCGGTTACAGTCCGTTCCGCGCGTGATTATACCTATACGTACACGCTGCTTCCTGCGGCGAAACATGTCGTAATTGCAGACTCAATAACAAACGTGGCAATGTTCTCCAAAAAATCGATACCGTGAGTTTTTGATGCTTGGTTTTGAGGCTCTTGATGCCATGCGTACTACAGCACATCTAAGCGCGGGAATAGGATGTATGCCTACGAAGGATATCGAAGATATAATCCCTATTAGAAATGAAAACCTGAGCCTTGGACTGTAATTCAGCGAGCGTGTGCGAGAGATCGGCTTTGTAATGAAGTGTAGCGTAGTGAACTGCGCTACTCACATCAGCTTCCACTTCACAAAGTGGGCTCATTTTTTGGCTTGAGGTGTTCCCCTTCTACCCAAAAGATAATGCCTCGATTTTTGGTAATGCTTCCATTTCGGCATTATATGTTTTATAAAGAGAAGACAACAGCGGCAAAGCATGAAGCTATCGACATCACCTCCTCCTTGTTGTGATGCGACAGTCACCCTACTTCTATACAAAGTTGACGCGTCACCGTAATGCAATTTTCCCTATACACGCAGTGGCTGGCAAAGGCATGATGATGTCCAAATCAGTGCATTGGCTTCCCACATCAGTCTGGTACCAGTTAATCCGGTTCTCTGGAGGATGGAAGGTTTGGTTGGCCCGAGCTTCTGGAGTTTTTCCCCTCACTGTGCGCACGATACGGGACTCCACTTGCTGGTGAAGGGATGAAATGACTTACCAGGTAATCGGAACAGCGGTATGTTTTCACTGCCACTGGGTTCATCATCCATATTCACGAGATTCTCTTTCTGAGGTGCTGGTGGCGGTTCAGTGATGCTCATCCGGCTGATTGCATGGTCCGAAAGCGTACAATTAGACGGTAATTGATATGCACACTTATTGTGGACGTTTACCTTGAAAAGAAGCGAAATTATGGAACATAAAAGTAACGCTAAATATCACAGGTTAAAAGTTGCTTCTACTGTCGTAAATTGCCCCTTGAACGTTTGAATGATATCATAGAACCCTACCCCACAATCTCTGCATTTGAGCCCTTGTCGAATGAGTCCTTTAAGCATTTTGTCGCAAATTTTGCACTTGGTCGGTGTTAAGTAGTTGTTCTCGGCCAAGGTATGCGGGAGTTCCAGTGCAGCGCCTAAACTCGTCCAATGACCGCTGAGCAAACGCTGCAGACATGAAATTTCTCTCACTTGACGGCGCTGACGGTGGCATGCCCACCCCAATTCCACCTGGACCCATGGGAACGGGACTCATCGTTGACAGACCGGGGGTAGCCACGACGCAGTTGTTTCGTGGTGCTTCGGTACAACGACGATGGAAATTACATCTGAAAAGAGCGATTAGAAAACATCTGACAACATTTCAGAATTAGTTTTTAAAGCTCGAACTCGTCTTTGTAAAGGGATGGAGCACCTCTTTGCATTATATTGCCGCATTATGGAAGTTAGGCTCGGAAACACATCCCACGATTACCGGTGCTAGATTTCTGGGTCAATAATGAATGCGAGAACAAAGTGGACCACCAGTAAAGAGATGGACCACCAGGAGAAAAACTATGAGCCAAGTTGAGAGGTCAGACATGGAGATAAGAGGGAATAGAGGGGACGAGCGCGACGCAGACATCACGCATTCACAACGTTGGGCGCCTGCGTGACACCTGGATGGGGATGCGCGCAACTTACGAGCTTCGCATTCTTTTCACGCATTTCTTTATACGTGGCCTTACTTCTAGCGTTACCACCAAGCTACCTCGGGACTTGACCCCCACTCTTCTGCTCATGTACTAAACCATTTTTGCTGAAAAGCCAGGCCACCAGGCCAAAAGCCCACTTCTAACCAGGGGGGGGGGGTCTTCCATGAAATGCCCAGTTTTCTCGAAACGGTCTTTTGCATGATATAGGAGACGTGCATGGAACACAGAACTGTAGTTCATTTTTCCTGAGCGGCCCTCTGAATACCAAAAAGGAGCGAAGAAAAATTTCTAAAGGAACTGCCGTCTTCACCAGTTTTTTGGTCCAAGTCTACAAATAAAGGTTGCTGATGGTCCTGTTTATAGACATGACATCCCTTGTTCACGCTGACGCCATTTTTCGCGAATTTTGAAACGCCAACACAAAATGCAAAAAATTGTCACTGCGAGGATTCGAACCACGGGCCAGTTCACCACCCATTTTTTTAGTATTCATAGGTACGTCCCCTGCATCGTGCAAAAAACCGTTTCGAGAAAACTGAGCGTTTCCTGAAAGACCTTCCTTGTAAAAGTGTTGTGCAGCCCCTGTGCACTTTTCCTCAAAAGGATCTCTAACTCATACGCTATTTGCAATCAATCAGAGGGCTGACATCAAACATCTCCGATGACATACATGAATACTCTAGTTGGGTGTTGACGACAGCGATTCCAGTACATGAAGATGCTTCATTAACAGAAAAAATGAAATCATTGAGGGGACGATACCGCACTTGCACGCCAGACAATGTAGTCCCTGACGCATCAGACCAGTCAGCATTGCTCCGCAGAAATCGCAGAATGTCAAGGTCATATAGTTTTTCACCTGAAATCGTCGAAATTGCAAAAGGGTGCCGATATGTCAGACATTTGTGAAAGCAAAAACTAAATTGAGTGTGACCTCTAAAACATGTGGGCGAGTAGGTTTCTCATTGCGATCCACCACGATCACCTCAACGATGCAGCCATTGTTCTGGAATAAAATTGATTCGAAAACGATGGAAACTAGTCTAAACGGGTACGTTTTGGAAATTGCTCTCTTTGTACCCTTATGCAAAACTATAACAATCTGGAATCTCCTCACAAATCTCTTACTCCGAGAAGCATCATCACCATACCCATAGACCACCTATTGCAAAACCGCACCATTTCCACACGGAGCGCAGACACGGTTCCTCAACCATAAGTGAATCCTCCTGGGGTTTTATCCAGAAAGGGAGCATTACGGTGCGCAGTCTACTCTAATGCCAATTTAGCTCGAAAAGTTTTTTGGTTTTCATGGTTTGGGGGGGGGGGCTCCAAAGGGCATTCAAAAACGGCTGTGGGTGACAGTAGGGGAGAAACGTCAGAGAGAACTGAAATTGCTCACATCCTTTCCGAGAACTCATTCACTCCCTAAGGCTTGGTCCCAAATACTGAATGTGGCTCACTCACTTGAAACCCCCCACCCAAACACATAAGCGCCGTCCTTGAACTTGAAGTGCTGACAACTTTAGTGCTACGATACCTTCAAGTTATTGTACATTGGTCCTATTTTTGTGCCAGGGGACATAAGCGTCCAGGAAAAGTAATATTCACCTAGTGAGCAGCTAAGAATGAGCTTAGGAAGGGTTAACTCCGGAGAAAATGAAGGTTGCTCAGACACTCGAGGCCTCTTCCCTTCTATGGCTCAGTTCAATCGCTACAATAAAAGAAAATGCTTCCCGTATTTTTAACACGTTAAGAACTCTAAAACAATGCCAGCCCCTTTTCTTAATACTTACTAGGTTTTAGATTTCGCGCCACAACAGCAAATATCAAAGCGCTGGAAAGCCGAAAGCATTACCGAAAGAGTTCTAAAGTCTTTAGCTCGATTCCTATGAACGAAGCGCTGCTTCGCGACGGCACGCTCAATTGCAAAGAACTGTGTACTCATTCTATAACATCTAAACGGTCGGCTCGAGAACTGTCACAAGATAGTGCTATGATTCTAAGATAAAGAACCTGTACTCCAAGAAAAAAAAACAAAACCTATGCCACATACCAGTTGTGAAACAGATGCGATGTGTTGTAGAACACTGGGCGAATCGTAGTCGTGCCGAAACAAGTGCAGCTCACTTTCACCAGGACTCGTGCGCTCGACAAGAGCTCGAGCTCGTCGACGTAGCGATTCGAAAACCTGAACTTCAGCGCCTCCATCAGGAGATGTGCAGTGCACGGCGACGCCTTCTGAATTCACCTGAGGCTCATCGTTTCGCTCCAAAATCACCATCTCCTTGTTGTTGCCATATTGTAGAAAGATGTGTATCCGTGGATCGCCACTGCTATCCGATTGCATTTCTGAGAAAAAAAACATTGATCCGGATGGAACGAAAAGTTCTATTGAATTTGAACGAAAGATGAAGAGGGCTCATGCTCCGCTAAAAGTTGGAAGAAAAGACTAAGGCCTGAATTCAAGTACAAATTCTTATTTTCTAATTTCTGCAAAGAATTCATTCGAATAAACCGCCCGCCAAAATACTTAAAGGCACACTCCACAACGACAAAATTTTGAGTTAAGCTCCAAAAATAAAACCAGGAGAACCGAGTAGTCAACTAGCGGTTGAGAAGGTGAAATAAACAGTATCTAATAAAGAGTTCATTTTCGTGATTAGTAGTCAACATTGTTGAAAATAACGACAGAGGGGTATTGAGCACCAAAATGAGGAAGAAGGGTTCAATTCTTCCACCTTAAACTTCAGTAGGATTGCTAAGAGATTGAACAGTCATGAATAGTTTGGTTCCTTTCAGGCTCTGGAAAAAACGATCCCGCCCAAGCGTATGTTAATAAAGGTCACTTATAGCAATCTCATGAAGCGTTGCAGAGAAGAAATCAACGGCATCAAATGAGAACATTATCACTTGGAACAAATAGCAACGCTGAGCACCGAGAAGCAAGTAGCTCAGTGAACGCCTTCAATGAAGAGAGATGTATGAAACCAGTGCCCTTTGTACCCTTTCAAACATACCACAAAGTTCGGTCATAGTATTCATGGCGCGGTCGACCAGGAGGCGAGCGCTTGCTCCGAACGGCAATACTGCGCAATGAGAGTCGTACCTATATCATTACAAGTATGTGTAGCCATTACTGGGTATTAGACACTACATTACTCGCCAAGACATACATTACTCGCCATTCAATTCGATGGAGGGGACCATGCTCTACAGTGATGAAGAAACTGCTTTGGTCATCGCAATGATGATCAACTACGTCCTTAGATGGCTACGACTCCGGATGCGAGACGGATGCGTGGCACTTGCCAGTGGAAGTGACTGGCGGCAGCCAACTTACACTTTGAGCAATAACAAGTCTACTATGACACTGAATAACTAAGAAAATCTTCACCGTATCTTCGGGGCTTCGTGAAGCGAATGTGTCCAAGCTAAAAACTTTGAGGCAGATTAAAAGCCTCCTAAATATACTGGATAAAGTCCTAATTATCCACTATTTCATTGTGATCTCTCTTCAGGCTAGCGCTCCACCGAAGAAGATGTCTCATCATATCCTTCATAAGGCTATCAGGAATGACGTAGCTGAGGCTTCAGGCTCACTGCCGCGTGAACGCTACTTGTACGCCTGCACCTCATTTCATAGTTCACTGTTTGTCTGAACCAAGAGTCAGCAGTTCCGAGAAGACTGGAGCATGGCGAGTACAAATTAGAGGTAGGAGCTAAAATTTCGGGATAGATATACTGACGACAGACAGGCGAAGCGTAGTTGGGATCGAATTTATTGCACGGCGACAAACTTTGCAATTTAAACTGAAATCAAGCCCACCTACTCTTTTCAAGTATTTAAATATTCATTGGATTTTCACATTATGAAAATTCGTAGCAGATGAATTTCGGAAGAGTATAGCGCACCACGTCGCAGTATAACGCGTAGGATGCACGATGCACGAAGACCACATTTCTCATTATTTCAAAACCTTTCTAATTGGTGTACTATTAGAAGAAGGAAAAAACGCCTCAAATACGTGATGGAGTTGTTATGTGTTCAGAGGCACGCTTCACCTCAACTGAAGTGGATCTGACACAACAGAATGGAAGGGCGAGAAGTGGGCTGGCAGTGAAGAAAAGGAAAAATCAGTCAAAAACCCCAAGTTAAAAGCTTACTCATTTTCATGCGTAGACAATAGCTGGCTGAGTACGGAGGAGACAGGATAGACGAGAAAGCGGAACAGATGGAGAGTGTATGGACAGCATGCTGCGGATGAGAAAAATGAAGGCGGTTGAAGCGGTCATTGCAAGACATTGGTGGTGCTAGGAGAACGGGGTATCTACGACGTACCTTGACGGCTGTAACCTTCCCTCTGGAAGATTCCTACACTTGAGCTAACCTGTGTTGTGTCTTTGACCAGAACAAACTTATTATACCAGATTAGTCCCCCGTCAACCGCCGGGACCTTCCTTTCCTGCGCAAGCTTTCTATCCTCCGCTATGGTCCCTTCCTCCTGTGACACCAACACCTCCTGGAAGTGACGCGTATGCAACACAATGGTGTTTCATACAGTAGAAGGGACACAATCATGATATGACGGTAGATTTTTCGCTTCCCTTCCTCATCCTCCCTTCCTCTCTCCACTGCCCTCCAGCTGCCACTGCAGCACCATGTGGAATGAACGGAAGTGTGCTAAGCAGGTGTTTATATAGCCCTAAGAGTGTTATCACAACTATCCTGCTACAAAACATTGATATCTCAAATCCTGTAAGCTACCCGATTTGTTAGCGGTTTGTTTATCCCATGAGCTTCCTTCTCACTCACTTCATTTTGCGGACGGACACACATACATACATACACACACACATACATACAAACCGACACACAAAGTTAGCGCTTTATATAATGAGATAACGAAAAATCAACAGAACTCTGGCTGCGCTCGAGAAATCTCCACAAGCGGTAGCTTTAGCCTCTTCGACAACATGAGTTTAGTAACTGAACATGAGGAAAGGTCTTCAGCTGGATGCCAGAAGCTTCCCGCTTGCAAAGATTCTAAGAATAAGCTTTCACTCAATTATGAAAACTAACGACATACTATGGCGATAACAACTGGCTTGAAATCATCCATTGGGCATTGGGCGAGATCCAACAAGGAGAACGTTGATTTTTGAAAGGAGAAGTGGAGTTTTCAATGAGTTCCTACTTTTCGGGAGACATGCAAAGAGAATGTCTTGAAGAATTTCCACAGGTAATTCTACGAATTCTAGACACTTAGAATTTAGCAATGTTTCTTCCTTCCCTCACTCCCCTCTCCGCAGGCGTCTGGAGGGTAGCAAGATGGAGGGTGGGTCGAAGGTACCCCAACATTTGTAACCATGTTACAGGAAAAACGGAAGTAACATATTCTTACTACTAAACCCGTCCAATGGGAGAACGCGCTGAGCTAAATTCTTTCCATTGCAGTGTATAGGGTGTGTACAACACCCTATACACTGCAATGGAAACGAAAGCTTCAGAGATGCTGCAACACGCGAAACAACGGTAATGGATCACAAACAGCATGTGAAGGTGGGAAAACTGGTTCTACTGAGAGATTCCAGGCTCTTCCGTGGCTAAATCTTTAAGACATAACAATGTAACATAACCCATAACCCACGAGAGACACTACTCGGGACAATGTACCGTAAAAATGAGTTTCAAAAGTTTCGGAAGGAAGAACAGCTCAAATACTCCCCTCTCATCAGTGAGTCTGATCAATAATCATGTAGAAGTAAGAGATTAAGAAATGCGAGGTTGTTGGCTGTGAGATAAATGAACGCGTCAGGAAAGGGAACACGAATGTTGTGTGACTAGTGCAAGGCGAAGTGGGCATCTTTGAAGGCAGTCGGAGAGCGTTTTTAATGGATCGGAAGTTGGAACTATGCAAAACGCGTATTCGAGTATGCTGTCGAGCGAGATGCGACGATGGCTGTGTGAACCGGTTTTCATTAGAGGATCTGCCCTAGCGCGAAATAATCAATTTCGACACAAATAGCGAAATTGCGCGAATTCTGGGACAGCGATGGCAAATCACGCTTTGCGACCATCTTTGCAGACTGTGGTGCGATGAGTGTTTGGTGTACAGCCATGAAAAACCACCCGGGTGTTGAAGCAATCGGTGAACAACTGTGGAAACAGGATCTTTCGTGCTTAATCGACCGTTTGCATTTTCGCCTTTACAGCTTATTTGAACGGTAAGAATGATGAGAGATCGACGTTCACTAATCGCCCAGGACACGCCAAGGGGCGGACTTTCATTCAAAACCGTACAACTGATTGAATGCATCACTCGTTCGTGCAACAGTAGCGGAGTTAGCGTTTTGTAGAACGCATGAGTGTTCCAATTTCTCAGGCAATTCTCATTCACCTAGTTAACTTTGGGAAAACGATTAGCATGAGAGAGGTAACAGGTTCGATTCGGGAGAATGCAAAACTCCTCTGCTCCTCCAGCCACGACAACATCTCTTTGCACCCTAGGGCCGTCAGAAGTCGTCGCTTATCCCAGATAAGCGACGACTTATCATAAACGACCACAGAAGAGGAAAGGTTTCTTTACCCAGATGCGAGCTGAATCAGCGGATAATAACATGGTCAAGTGAGCGTAGAGGAAATCCTTAAGCATGGTAGGAGTAGTATTAGAACAGTTGGGGGTCTCAATAAGTGGAATTCATTATTGTACAACGTGTTTCCAATCTTGAAAAGGACAGGATATTCAACTCCAGCATTTACCCTCATTGAATCCTTGGCCTGAGGTTTCCACCAAATCGCCTCCCTCAGAAGCCTAAAAATCAGTGTCTGAGCGCTGTCTCGCTCGTGCGGTGGTAAACTGGGTAGGATTATTACTCGCCCGAGATTTTCTTGCCATTCTCCCTGAAAGCTCATCAAAAAGGCAGCAGAAGAGGCGCTTGGCAATGAAGAAGGCAGCTCTCAGAGCTAGAGCCACGTTTAGGTATTTGAAAAAAGCGACCCGGTCGTAACTTTGGGGCGTTGACCATAGTTTCGACCTAAAAACCTCTACTGCACACGAATCACATCAAGGGAGAAAAAGATTTTTTTTGAGGAACCGACGATTTTAATTGTTTCGATCTCGGTGAAAAAGTTCGTATTAGGAATTTCTTGCCATTGTGTTCCACGTTGGTGGAAGAGGCGCCTTTTAACAACTCGCGCATAAGAGGTTCATTCGGAATAAAGTCAGTTTCCAAACAATCGAAGCCTTCAAATCATCCAACAAACGTTCACACCCACCCACCACACACATATGAAGGTCGTAAAATCAAAGCATGGATGGAAT